CCTGTCGCGCCGTGAAGACCGAGCCTGCCGCGACGCACCATCATGCCACGCTGCGAAGGTCGTGCCCAGACCTGCTCTACAGTGCCGCGCGCCTCTGTCACGCTGCGAAGAACCGCTCTGCCACGCCGCAATACTCCTCCGCGCCGCGGTACTGCCACCCTGTCTAGGTCTTTTAAGATATTTTCATTTTTTGTTTTATTTTAGTGTCTTTTCTTGAGTCATTTGTGTGATTCTAAGTATGGATTATGGTGAATTTTAAGATTTGTTGATGATTGTTGATGATGTTGAGGAGATGTGATGATGATCATGACCAGTATACTTTGATGAGCTTGATGTGTTGCTTTGTTGGACATTATTTGCCTTGTGAGGTTTGAGCCTTATATCGTTTTCTTTGAGAGATATTGGTCGGATTCGTTGTTGATCAGAACTTGCTTTGAGTCTGTTTTGAAATGAAGTGATTGAAGTATTGATTTGTAAATATGATTGAGGCATTTTCTTTGACATTGCTCGTTTAGCCTTTTTCATTGACCTTTGAGATTATATTTTCATTAATAGCCCGTTGAGCCTTAAACTGTATTTTTTGTCAACCGATTTGATTGAATTACTTGAGATTTGACAGTGTACTTGCTATGATGACGGAGTTTTACTGATATGTGTTGGAGAAGGTGTATTACTTGTTGGAGTGTCATTTTGGGTACTTGACAAAAAAAAAAAGAACTCGCAAGGCGGACGGAAAGAATTCTACTCCGCTTACTTGTGGAATTTTTCACGAGTAATGAGTTTTGAGAAACTACTCTAGGAAAATTGGATGACCTCCAATGTTTAAACCTAGAGAATGTCGTCCTTACGTCTAGGTTTTGTTAGTAAAAAGCAAAAACCTTAAAAGAAAAAAAAAAGGAGGAAAAAGAAAGAACTAATAAAAAAATATAGTCAAGTACTTGAATTGCAATTCGATTTGAACAGGTGTGTGTTGCATGGTGTTCTTGATGGGAATGGTTAGTTTCATGCTGATGTTGGATAAGTGGTGAGGTGTTCGACTTATTTATGTGCTCGAAGGTTTGATTGTTTATTTGAGCCACTTTATACCTATATTTGTCCCCCCTTTGATGCCGACACTGTAACCCAGAAGTCCTCTTAATTTGCAAATTCATGATCTTTGATTGTTTTAGAGTAGGAATAGAGAATAAGCAAGATTATGTTAAAGCATGATTACCGACCAATTTGAGCGTCCCAGTTTTATGTTCATGAAAGAAAACGAGTGAGTCATTTATATATTATATTTCCGTGCTCGAGAGTTTGTCTTTTCAAAATGTTGCATTTAAGTGTAATTGAGGTATGCATGATTGGTCATTGGAAGTTTCTTCAGCTAAGTTGATTAATTTGAGGCTTGTCTTATTTGAATTGTTATCCATGCTCGTTTCCTTGTTTTCGTGTCTTTTCTTTTTTTT